TATACTGTATATCACTCCTTTAACATAATCTAAATACCACTCTCTATATACTTTGTACCACTCCTTATATACTGTATATCACTCCTTTAACATAATCTAAATACCACTCTCTATATACTTTGTACCACTCCTTATATACTGTATATCACTCCTTAAACATAATCTAAATACCACTCTCTATATACTTTATACCACTCCTTTTAGATAATATGAAATAGGTGCTACCTAGAGGCGAACGCTTAATAACATTATACTGTATTCATTTTAATCTATTGAATGAAATAGTGTGACTACCTGATAATAGTTTTAGAGTAAGCATTAATATTTTAGATGCTATTGCATCGCACACAGAGGTTCAATTTTTGTATTGAAAGCCGCTGGTACTTTACATAATTCAATGGAATAGACATGTACATGTATCCCTGTACAATATAGTATGAACCATACTTTATTTCGTATCATAATGACTATATGCGTTACGATATATTACGCTTTATAATGTTAAAGAAGACGTTAGCCGTTTTAATTATGTGTACCAATGTAACAGGAGAGGAAAGATGCACGGCCAGACCAGGGTTCGAACCCGGGACCCTCCAAAATCTAGACGGACGCTCTACAAATTGAGCTATCTGGTCGCCGACGATCGATTCAATCCAGTTCCGCTATATTCCGCCCTCCTTTTTTTTAAGTCTTCTGCTAGAATAATTTGATTAGTACAGTTTAAACATTATAGATCTTAATCATCTTCAAGTTAGAACTCTGTTTGGTGCCATCCCTTGGACTCCGGGGTCAACTTTTCTACTGGCACAGTTTTGAATCCCCATCAACTGGGAAAGTTTCAAAACAAACAGGATTGATATCATAAGTTACAGACGGTTGTACAATTTTTAAAACCTGCCACCTGAATATCCACTTTGCAAACCAGAGAAGAAATCGCTTAAGGCATAATGACTCAAATTTTATTAATTATCTTTGTTATAACTAATCGTTTCTGTTTAAAGATATCTAGATTGAATTTTATAATAAAAAAGGATCACATAAAATTTCACTGTATAACACATTACATGTATCTAGTAAAATTTCACTCAAAGGAAGCTCACAGTTTTCATTACTCATACTTTACACAACTCAAGTGCTACTTATTATCTTTGTTATAATTGTATTCAAAATTCTGTGAGACCTCTGAGATTCATTAAATAATAATAAAAAAAGGTTAATTTATATCAGATATACATGTATATCCCACAATGCAGTTAGATTTTACACAATAGATATTGATCTATGTCTAAAAATGTTTATTGAAAATGCCTACAGTGGCACTTTTATTTTTGTTTTAAAATATTCTACAGTTCTACATTGAGATGGCTTGGAATTAATCTATTCTGTTAGATAAGGCTTATGCTGTGAATTGATTTTGCAAACTCTGTATTAATGTGTTTACCAATGATATAATTATATAATCTGTATACTTGGTATAATGGGTAGTTACCTGAATATATATGTATATTCATTATACAATAATTATATATTACATTTATATAGATATATGTTTTATTCACTACATATATGTATATACATATACATTACTATATAAAGGCAGTTGAAGATGCGTATTGTATTGTTTATTCACTTTCAGCCTTACGGCCCATAAGCATTACAGCATAATACAGAGTAATTAATGTGTACATGTACAATAAGGGTGTCGAAAACATTACACAAATATTGAATAACATGTAACATAACCTACATTGTACAAGACAAGCTGATTTGATAGATGGCGGACAGTTGTACGCACATGAGAATACAAATGACAAAAGAAAAATATTAATGAGATGATTAATTGAAGTAATGTACATGATTGAAAGATTGGAAGAATCTCAATCAAATGAAGTAAGAAGTAATCAGTTTTTATCTGGAGATAAAAAGAAAAAGCATGCACATGATAATTAAACAATGCACATTATGTCGAGCGTAATAGTAAACTTGATTGTAAATATTTACCTAAATGACAAAGTTCTTTCCTATTACGAACTGCTAGCAACTGTACAAGTTTATAGGACGACGGACGGTTCCAATAATATTTTTTGATAATTTTTTTACGTAAAGTTGCGTATAGAGGACAAATTAAAATGAAATGAAATTCATCTTCTATTTGATTTTGGTTACAATGTAGACAAATTCTATGGGCCCTTGGGGTATTACAATATCTGCCTTCTTCTATGCGTAAACGATGGGATGACATTCGAAACTTGGAAATAAGCCTAAGATAAACGACAGGAATTGATTTTGTTAAATAATATTGTAAGGTAAACGAGTCAAGCAAGAATTTGTACAGATAACATTTAGAAGAGTTTTCCACAAACTCGTTCATTGATTGAAGAAAGTTGTCAGTGAGACGTTGTTTGAAATTATGTAAAAATACTTTTTCGTTAACAACATTTTGATTTAACCAAACATCACCAAAACCTGTAGACATTAGTAAGTTTTTAACTTGGCACCGCCAGTTACAGCTATTATGATTACAAACAATCATGTCGTCATACAATGACTTTAGAATACAATTATTAGTCTTGGTTAATTTTAACCAATATTTAATTATTCTTAGTTTCCAGGTAATTTGCAGAGGTAAACGACCAAGTTCAGAGTATAACATAAACGTAGGGGTATTCTTTTTAACATACAAGATTCTTTTTAAAAAGTCAATGTGTAATTTTTCTATCTGATCAGCCAAGCTAAAACCCCACACTTCACAGCTGTAATTAAGGACAGGCGATACGTAGACATCAAACACATTAAGTTTTGATTCAACATTTAAAGCTAAGTTATTGCATATTTTCAAAATCTTATACATACATTTACGTCCTTGTTCAGCTATATTAAGTTGAGTTTTAGTAAACTTACCATTAAAGTATAGCGTGACACCAAGATAATTAAAACTATCAACAATTTCTATTACATTATTTTCAAAATAGAATTTGTCATTTGAACTAACTCTACCACCATTTCGGAATACAACGATTTTTGTTTTCTCTATGTTGACAGATAATTGCCATTTATCACTATATAGTTTCAAAGTATCTAACATCTTCTGTAACCCAGAAGCTGACTCTGAGAAAAGAACAGTATCATCAGCATACATCAACAAAAACAGAGAAATATCTCTTAGAAAAAGTGCATCACATGATGTATTAATAAATTCATTCTCCAAATCGTTTACATACAAAGAGTAAAGGAAGGGAGATAACCCCTCACCCTGCATCAAGCCTTGCGTGCATGCAAAAAAATCAGATAGTTCAGATTTGTATCTAACACATGACCTTAACCCTTCATAAAGGGACTTCAAAATATTCAAAAATTTACCTCTTATACCACTTTTACACAG